GTTTCAGCGGGTGTAACTTAGAAGACATATGATACAGCTGTGCTCTGGAAAAGACATTACGCCCAAACTTTGTCAGCACACACTACTGCTTACATGATGATGATGTCAATGGATGACATAAACAGGCACTCATACAGAAGCTCTACTTTGTTATTATGCCTTTCAAAAAAGAAGGACGAGTCGAGAGAGCTCTTGTTAATTAACCGAAGAGGTGTTAGTTTGGTCCACTTTCATGTTTTTCTCTGGTCACTCTTTCAGTGTGGCCGCAGCATTTATCAGTACCAAGTAAACACAGAAGTTTAGAATAGAATTTTTTTTAACTATGAACAGGAAACCAGATGTTTTAAACTGAAAAGCAGCCAACACATAACACGTTTTCAATAACAAAACTCAAGGAAAGGCCAGATAGGGAAGTATATCCCAGTAAACATAACTTAGAGTCAGTGTTTCTCCTGTCACAACAGATCCAGCCGACATACAGTTAGGTCGTGTGCCACTTAGATTTAGAAGGAAAGTTTGTTCGGATCACTAAATGGTAACTGCAGGAGAGTGGCGTCAAAAATATGAATAATCTCAATTTTGCAGTACCTGTCAAGATACAGCTTTGGGTGAGAAAGCTTAACTTGGATTAGATTTGGATACATTTTCAGTTAAAGCTGAATACTGTGAGGTTTAAAAGGAGTAGCTCAACATCTTGCTTCCATTGGGAGAGTGAATGAGAAGATCAGTATCAGTCTTGATGCTGGGTGTTGAAAGAATAGCTAAACATTTTATGCTTGTTCGCTTTCTTGCAGAGAGATAGATGAGAAGATTCATAACACACTCATATCTGTCCACTAAATACAAAGCTTCAGCCAGGAGGCTGTTAGCTTAGCTTAGCATTACGACTGGCTCCGTCTAAAGGTAAAACATAATCCTTCTCCCTAAAACCACTTCCCATGGCTTCTAAGATAATTCTTGTAGAGCATGCTCTTTAACAAATCCGACCTTATTTCCCACCTTATTTCCTTCCTTTCACAAAATAGCACTTAAGTGATAAGAAAGATATGGAATTTGCAGCTTATTATGTAAAATCAAGTTACACTACATCCTTCAGTGTTCAAACAGATTGAATTTTGCATGTGAAATGAGGATCGAGTTGAATCTCATTTCAGCCAAACCATATATGCAGTTGAAGTAAAGAGATTGAACTGTCTCTTTCAGTGACATCATCCTAGCCAGTCTTCAAGCATGACATCATCCTCTTGGTATGCAATCCCACCGTGAGGAATTTTTTTTTTTCCTCTCGGTAAGAATCTGAATTATTTACAAGTGGCTTCCCTGTTTGAGGTCAGAAGACACTGATAGGCTGTTTGTTAGAAAGAGTCAACTCACAATGTTTTTTACCATGTAAAGAGCTTAACTCATCTAATGATTACATAGTAGTTTGCTGTCCAATCATCCCCCTGTGCAATGATGACATGGGAGTAATGGTAATGGATACGTATGATCATACAAACAAGGTATTTTACTCTGGTATCTTGCAATCGGCTTACCATAGACTAAATATACATTACTTTATACTTTGCAGTCAATAATTGTAATAACTACTTTGACCATACTGGTTCTGTAACCCCAAATTCATCATCTTTTAACTTTTAATAATGATTGTGATAAAGAAGAAAAAGACAAGTAGAAAACTAAACATAAATATATATAAGCGTTTTCCCTTAACACAATGAATACATTAATGGATGTGTCTTTCATACAGTGAAGCTCAGGAAGTACTAAAGTAGGTACCAAGATACTGTGGTGTAAAATGTTTAACTGATGAATTAAATTCAACAACCAAATATGAAGTGTTTATATGCAGGTTATGACATGTTGATGAAACCTACCAAAATGTTTTTTGAACAGTCTGTGACTGATAACTGACACGGCAACCCGACACACGTATAGTAATAGTTGCCCTTTATTAGTCTCAGATGCTGAGATCAATCACAAATCATTTTCAGATGTTGACTATTCATTTACTTGTTTATTTATCTTTGCACCACACAAACATCTTCACATGGGGATTACATATACCAAGAGGATGATATCATTCCTGCACAGAGGATGAGATGATGTCATTGGAGGGAATGATGTCATCTCATTTTGAATGCATTCTGTGGGTGAGGCTGCTGCAGTGTGTCGGGGTGTGTGAGGGTGTGTTTCTCCTGCACACGCTCTCTTTCAGATCCCTATCTGATCAGTGGAACCTTTTGTTTTAACCTAATTTTATATCATGTGCAGCAGGTTGTGAATCATATGGTTATGTATCACTTTAATGCTGTGCTGTGAAGTAATGGAAAAGATTCCCAAAAGCAGGAATGACGGGCAGATTAAATTTCTTAGGGGTCCATGTTTGCAGGAATAACCTCATAGCTTTGGCCGCATGTTTGTTTTTTCTCATGTTTCTTTTCTAGAACCAAAGTAATTTGACTTCATGAGTAATGTCGGCAGTAAGTTTGAATAAGACTTGAATAAGTTCGTCTGCATGATATTCCACTATCACAAAATGACTCTCATAAAAATTATTTTTCATCAGGTTCAAATCAGGTTTTGTTTTTTTAATATATATATTTTTTTAAATCATAAATCAGGTGTCATTCTGTCATCAGTGCCAGTTTTCTTATTCACACAGTTTGCTGATAGAAAGCAGCTGACATTGGCATATGTTTGCAATCAGACGTCATCTGACAATAACATGACTGTAATTGTCTAAAGTAACAAATAGCTGTTTGACAGCAGAACAAAATCATCTCTTTCATCTGCTTTCTTCTTTTTCTGCTCCTCTGTAGGGATTTTGGATGTGGGTGAAACCAGATGCTTCAAATCCCACTCACTGCAGCATTCAGTGACATTCCAATTCCAGGCTGCTCTTAATAATGAACAAAATCCATCTCCATAAAGATCGGGGGGCTATGAAAGTAAAGTGATCATATCCTCCATCGTGTCACAGATCAATGAAATCCATTTACAAAAGAACCTCCTCCTCTTTGCATGCGCAACTTTATGCAAGCACACAATGACGCATCCTTTCTACGTCATGAAGTTTAATAGTGACTGCAGGCAGTTTCTCACTTTGTCACACACACACACACACGCATACACACACACACACACACACACACACACACACACCCTGTACTACTATACTTGTGAGGTCCCCGTAGCGTATTGCATTATTCTCTGGAAGCTTACCCAAACTTTGACCCTGAATTTAAGTATAGCCCTAAAATATATGGTCAACCACGTGGGACTGGGGTATTATCCCAACAATATAGTGATTACATACTCAATAGTACTACAGTACTGCACTTGTGAGGAAAATGTACTGAGTACATTCAGTGTCTCAAGGATTACCTTGGGCAGGTCATAATCCCCCCCCAAAAAACTCTGAACTCTGAAATTAAACATTTATCAATCTCCTTATTTATCACATATGTAGAGTGATTCTTTTTTGCAGACTCCAGTTCTGTGTACAGCCACTCAGACAGCTTTTGACAAAGCAGGCAGATGTGTTGGGAACATTCATTGAAACTTTTTGTATTGATTGTGAGAGAAGAAAGAGAGCTGGTAGACCATGCGAAAAACTGTAAGACTGGTAAACAAGCATTTGTCGACGCAATTATTTTTCCTCTTTGCACCACAAACTCACATTAAGCCAGTGAGAAACACTGATAAGCTGTAAGCACAGTGAGCACCTGTGTATTCCATTGACATGAGCCATTTAAAATTCAATTTTCTCCGTACCTGTATGACTGTATACTCAGCATCTACAAATATAAGCTATCATCTGGAGGACAAAATCAGAGAAATATATGGACACCAAGCAGCATTACTGTAATAACGTACATCTTGTATTTTCAACTGGTGTGCCATGGAAGTTTTGAGAATGTATAAACATGACACACAAATGTCAGGCCACATCTCTAAGACAACTAAATAATTCACTCTTCTATGTGGAGTTCCCTGTATAGTTAATAGTGACACAGACATACTTTCCATTCAAATAACGGATTGACTGAAATGTCTGTTTGCATTTGGAAAAGTCGGTTGACTTAGTGGTTTGGCCGAGGATTCTTGTCTGGATGGAGACTTTCTTTCCACGACCTAAACAGTGGGCTTTTCAGGAGGATTTAAAAAATAACACAGAAGTAGAGTGTCAGCAGAAGCCTGCATGACATCACCAATCCACTAGACTTTTTGCACCTGTGCTTGCACCATTTCACTCCAATCTGTTGACTCCTGTTTCATACGAGTACAAGCCATGTTTGACTGACATGATGTGGAACATCTGTGAGGCTGGAGTGTAGTCCCCAGGGGTCTGTGGTATCCAGAGGAAGCAAGAGATGTTGGGGAGCTTAAAGCATTTAGTATCATGTTGGTCGTCATGTTACCAGCAGTCTGCTTATCATCACATACAGCTGATGGCAAATCCATCTCTACTATGATAGACTACAAAGATAAGTAAAGAACTTTTTATTTTTATTTTCCAACACGTGATTTGCCCTTTAGGAACATTTGTAATTTTTGGAGAGTGCCTGTCTGTAAGATGACCTTTTCTAGCTCTGTCTTACGCCACGGGAATGATAAACACCAAAATAAAAATCAAGGAAATGACATTTCAAACCATGCAGACTAATTTACACCTCACAGATTGTTATATTTACTCATTCATTAGCAGCAGAATGACCACGACAGATTCATGTGCACAGCTGCAAACTCACTTATTTGTAAAAAATTGAATAAATGCTGCTTGAGAATCATAAATCAAGAGGTCCACAGAGAAATCTGGCATGCGTCGGGATCACAATTTTGGGCTACAGCTAAAAACAAAACCAGCCACTACTGTATAGGCCTACTTGTCATCGAAAATGTTAGGATTTCCGGAGGTGTTCCTGAACGCATCCCGGTTGGGCAGTACGCTGTTGTGCGTGTGGAAGCCTCTCCCTCCTCTCAGTCGGTCGCTACGTCAAGCAAACAGTAGCAGCGTGTGTGGGTGTGTGTGTGTGTGTGTGCGTGTGTGCGTTTGTGAGGGGAAACGATTCTGTTTGGGGAAATCTTCATTATTTTGGTGGTTGGTCTCAGACTCAAACATGGACAGTGGACTCTGACTGAGGCGCACAGAAGTTCCTCACCGAGGATTTAAACTCACCTGGATGAACTGAGTCGGACAAAAGAGAACCAGGACACAGAATAAACTGCCAGGGGACACAGCAATGTAAGGACACAGTCTCGATATTAGCCTCCTAATTCTCACTTTCTCATAATCACACATGAGGTGTTTGTGGACGGGCTGCCAACCTTTAATGGGATCTTAAAAACGTGTCTGTCAAACTGACAGCTGGAATGATTTTCAACTCTGATGTTGACTTGTTTCTCCTGTCATTTCTGCGTATTTAGGGTCCACTGAGGATGCACTTTACAGACGGACTTAGATAGATAGATCGATCGATAGATAGTTCACATTAAGTTATATTTTCACGCAATCTTTGATTCTCTTCCATTGACAACTATTTGGTGCGTCCTCATACTTTTCTCTTGTTCTTAATTTACTTTTCTTTTCATGGGAAACTTGTCAGGAATAGAAAAGAGAAAAACTTCTGATAACCTAAAATATGCTGCCGCCGCCAGATGGGGTAAACAAGCCCCGACGCGTCAGATCATCTTGATACTTGCTAGGAGTGACTCAGACATGTTGGCCAACTAAAGTCACTGGAGATGAAGGGCAGAGCTTCCCTTTGTGCATGTGGAAAATAGTTTCAGATGGTTATCTTGTTCCGGCCAGATTGTTTCCAAGGAAAGCGAGGAAACAGCAGCAAAACCGAACAACAGAGGTGCATTTATAGCACAGCAAATAGTTACTTTAAAAATAAAATAACAACGTATTTATACATTTTATGACAGGGGCTACTGACTAGTATGTTGTTGAATGTTTACAATATGCATGGACTTTATCCATCCCTTTCTTCTGCTTTCTTGTTCATTCATCCCACCTCACGTCTTTGGAGCATCATTGGCTTACTCAGGGCACTTAATTACAGTAAGAAGCTAGTTCAGTATTTGTATATCAATAAGTTGTGTCATGATTATTATTATTATTATGCACTAGCAACAAAACACTCTTATCCTAATCCCAACCGAACCACATTGTGATGATAAGACAGTGGATGTAAACGTGTGACTTTTTTGTAACTTTTGAGGCGTATTGCTTTTGGCTTTGACATTTTGATGGTCCTCACTAAGCTTGAGTGATATGATGATAAATACTAAGGCATGCTATGAATTTGTTACTGTTTATACTGTGACAGCTATCCAAGTCATACCTCTGATTAGATTAAACCTGTGTAGTCGGTGGAGCAAATCAATTGATTTCATTCCTGGCAATGTTTGAATTTTTTTTTTGGCATCAATGTGACAACGCACCATGATTTGTCAGGTATTGAATTTATGGAAAATTTATATTTCTATCTGATTATTTTATCCATGAACAGTTTATGTTGATATCATGGTATATAATCACATATGTGATAGGGCATTTTATGCAGTGTCCTTCCCAAATCTTCCCTCTGGGGATCCGTAACGGCTAATCTTATATTAATAAAGCATTGGTTTGGATAGAACAGAGGCTAATAAAATATTCAAGATGCTGCTTCTTTCCATCTAACATGTACATGACAATGGGGTTGTTGTTTTTTTCAAAATGCCAGAGGATTTGTTTTGAACACCTGGTGGTGATGACGGCTGTGTTCTGTAGGAACACGTTTTTCCTTTTATGGGAACATTTGTGTCGAAAGAACGGAAGGTTGAAGGAGAAAACTGTAGCATCATGTTTTCTAACTGTGCGGTTGTCATTCTAAGGTCATATGATGAGAACTTTGAGATAAAATAATGTCCTTCCTTCTGCTTTGTGTCAGAATATGCTTTCATGAGTAAATTACAGCTCTGGAGTATTTCATCAGTGAAAGTGTCTCAATGCCGACCTCTGATTACTCATCGTTGCTTGTTTTCCTGTTTTTACAGCCATTACCCTCTACCTGCCATTATCCACCTGCCCAATAGTGACTTTCAGTGTGTTTCCACATACCCAGTCACTCATTTGCTTCCCTGCATATCTAACCCTCTTTCTCCAGTCTTTAACCAGATCATCTAATGCACAACCCAGTCTCACCTGCCTGCTCCTGGTTTTGCTTGTCTTTTTTGTTTGTCCTCACCGAATAATAACCTGATGCCAAACTCTGTCCTAACCTTCTAAACTATTGACTGTTTTCAGCTGCGCTCGCTCTCAGTCCTGCGTTTGAGTCGTGTTTCTGTGTGCAGAGCTGTTACAGACAGTTATGGAGGGAGAGCGGGAGGTGCTCCTATCAGTGAGAGATCTGCCTCTGAAACAGGATGGGTCTGAGAGGGCCACATTGCCTTTTGCAATACTTTTGGTTCTACCCTTGCAAATAATTATTTGAATCACATCACCGATCTTCAATCCTGCTGGAGTCAAAATAGAATTGCTTGCAGCACTGCTTCAGATCCATGAAAAACTCTTTCCCTCCTTAACCTAAAGCCCAGCTAGGCAAAGCCCATGCTTTTGACCACTACAATGTAAGTTTGCAGTATTTTATAAAGGTGGTCTCTGTGAATGTTATCCAACTTTAAAAAATGAAGTTGGTCATGACTGCTAGCTTATGATAATGAATCCACAAATGCAATGCATTGCATTTCATGATATCTTGCATTGTGATCAGATGAAACACATCATTTACAAATCAGAATCAGGATTATTGCTAACCAGGAATTTGCCTTGCATAATAAACATAGTTAGAAACAAGAGGTGTACAGTTTTGTACAGGACTGTGAATAGTTCAAAGTACAGTGCCTAGCCAATATGAGAAGTATTGTGTAGAGATAATAATACAAAATGTCCAAAATATGTGCGTTAATGTAATGTAACGAACACTGGGCCCAGGTGTTCCCAGTTGGCCCTAATGATCCCCTGCCACCAGTTATCTGTAAATCCTCATAACAATAAGCGATTGGCAGAGAAAGGCAGGGATCGTCACACAATGAACAATGAAACCTCCTGGAAAAAAAGAGACGTAACCTAATGTGCTGTATATAATCAATGTCCATTTGTATGTAATTAATAGTACAAAATAACATCTAGTTTAAAATCAATCCAAATGAGCCCATTTGGTGTCGATGAAAGGGTAAAGGAGCTCGTTCCACAGGGATGTGGTGGTGAAAAGGGAACCCGTGCTTTAGGATGAAAAAGGTACCAGCCTGAAGTAGACATGACACTTTACTGGCACAGTACTGTGTACCAGTAGAGACACAGCGCAGACCTTTTGCCTAATGAGTCATTATGAGAATGAGAAGTCGGTCCACCAGTTCTTCAACTGTTCTTGGAACTGGGTTGTTCACAGTTGCGCACATACACCTCCCACTGTTCTCCTATGATACTGGTTCTGTTGTAATCAGATTTTGAGATTGTTATCCATTATTCTTGCTTATTAAGCATGGACTGTTGAAAGCCTTTTATGTCATGCATAACCTGTAGAGATTACTCCCATGCCCGGCAACATCCAAACGCGACACAGGGCGTATTTGCTAGAACGCTGAAGAGATCATATCTGTTCAATTTTCACACTCTTACAACTTCAACCTTTAGTACCTCATTTACACCTGCTTTATGTTTATGCAGCAACATTAAATCAACTTCTACTATCCCTGATACCTATCTCACTCAATTCATGTCTTCATCTGTGTCTCTTATCTCTCACCATCTATATTACTACGTTTTTTGTTTTTTTTTACCGCTGCACAATCAAGGTTTTTCCTTCTCTCTGTCAATCCTTTACTTATCCCCTCTCTGTATCTCTACAGGGTTCGGTCTGTAATGTTGACGGTCCTGATGCATATCCTCCTGCTCTCTCATGGTGAGTTAAAACTCCAACGCAACAGTTCAGTAGTACCAGTTTTCTCTCTTAAAAAAAATGTACAGCCGATTCACGTTTGGAGTAAAGTAAACAGATAAACTTACCTTTAGAAAGGTTCAGTTCAAAAATAGTTATTGGAAGGAACTTATAAGTAGGATATATTGTAGGAGGACACTATAGGATATTATGTTATTCATGCACCTCTCTGAGGTTTTGCCAAAGGGAGCTATGGATTAATCTGAATCCCGAACTTAAATCTAATGCAGTGTTCTTGTCACATCGGTGTGTGGAGTTAATTTGTTTCAGGCTTTGTTCCTGGCTGAGATTCTTACAATGTAATTATAGATGTAATTCTGGATGTTAATAATGTGTACAAGGAGATTGGCATTCTTAGATGGAGATGGTTTGAATCCTGAAATCCCTATTGTGTTTTGTTTTTTTCCAATTAGTGGTGGTAATTTCAGATTATTTCAGTTTGGAGCTGACATTTCTGTTCAGGTAGTGCTCAGGTAATACTGGTCCGGATGTACAAGTCTATATAATCTCCAGATACACACACACTATGCAGCAGCCTCATACCAGTGTTGACACTTGAGATGTATACAGTCGTCATATTTCCCGTGTGGAGCTCATGTGGTGTCAAAATGAAAACCAGTGTACAGTCTTCTTTGACAGTATGTTATTCTCTACCAGTTGTCAAACCTACATTCCGAGTTTCACCTGAGCTAAATCCCCATCACAGGGGTGATGTACACTAACACGGTCTTTGGGCTTTTCTCATGATCTTTCTCTGGTTTAGCCTTCACCTAAACCGAAACCTTATTTTCTTACTCACCAATTCTGCCAGTTCATCCCTTCATTTAATGAAAACTTATATTTGATTAATGACTTGTGCTAATAAAGGGACATATATTATTATATATTATATATATATATATTACATTTAAAGCTGCTCTCCCTGTGTTTGTGTTGTAATCAGAGCTTCTCTGTGCCTTATTTATACAGTAGTTGAAACATTGCTCAGTAAAAATGTAAATCATAACCTTATAATCTAAAAATCTTTATATTTGCAAAAAGAAACAATTGAGACACTTTCATGCCTCTGTACATACAGTAGATACAATGCAGCAGCCAGTTGTTTCAATGTGAAATAAAAAATAAAAAACACCATATTGATAGATAAAAAAATATATATAAAAAATATTTTAATTTGACGTGTCTCATGCAGAAAATAAAATAAACTTAAATATATAAAAACACTGTGAACATTAATTTTGTTTCTATCCCGAGTTAACTTTCTTGCCTCTCTTGAGCAGGTGCTCAGTGTTTGGAGCCTGAGGAGGGAGCCTCTCTCCATCCAGGTGCCCTGGACCTCCCATGGCAGGATGAGCTGTGCTGTGACTCACCTTCAGCACACCTCACTGCAGAGGGAGACGCCACACACGCACTGGAGACAAACCGCTCTGAATCAAACCTCCCACGCTATCCCCTCTGCAGCTTCAGGGGCTCGACAAATGAATCACATCCTCATGAGTCCTCTGGCGGTAAGAGTTGATTAGACACCGGTATCTAAAATGAGATTATTTATTCAAGGCTTGTAGGGTTGCTCCTATCCTGGCTGATAAGTCCCTTTTGAAAGAGTTTGTGCACGTTCGCAGAAATATCTGCCAATTATCTCAACTCGCATGCAGTGTGGTGCCTCCAGTGTTTTATTCCAGGGCTTTGTTCACTTTCATCAGTGTTACATGTAAGAAGACAATTATTAAAGTGGCTTTAAATTGTTTTTAATAGTAAACATTGAGGTTGCAGGTTAGTAAGACCAACTTGTACCAAAGCTTCAAAACATTTTGCTTGTTATTCAAAGAGTCTTGTTTTCAACGCTAGCGACGCCACAAACCAATGTTTTGATGATTGGGTCCCTGTTGAATTTGTGTTAGCACACTGACAGTTTGCCGCTACTCCATGCTTTACCTCTGACAAGATGTACAGGACAGACCTCACTAGCTGTATGGGAGAACATGAGCGTAACTATCTGTTTACAAGAAGACATTTAATACACAGTGATCTCAAGCAGCAACAGGGTGGCTGTATGATGCGGCTGCTGCTCATCAGAACAAACAGCGGGGTCAGCGTGACAGAGCCTCGTGAGTCTTCCTGCAGTGTCGTCACTTGTCACTGACAGAGAGGCCTCTAAAGATCATCCTGACAGGCTCATTTAATGAATTTTCAGCTGGCATCCCTCCTCCCATCAGGGTGGGTCTTGTGCTGGCAATTCACAAGATAGTCTGGCTCACAAGGATTCACATTTATCAGCACAACAGAATCAAACCAGCTGTTTCTTACCTTTTCTACTTATCCAGGAAATTGTTCAGCACCACTGTTTTCTAGCAAGAAGAGAGAGTACGAAGGTCTTGAGTTTAAAGAGGAAATGTGGGGCCGGTTCAAGTGAGTCATAATTATACAATGCTCTCTTAATATTGTCAGCGCTGCGGTGAAGATGGTGAGGCGATATTGAGACATGAGGGAGGTGAGGAGGATTTGTTTGACATGCACAGTGTTGTTTTCATCGATCTGCGAAGCGCTGTGATTCCTTTGACTCACTGGTGGTTAGCAAAAACCTTCCAGCTTTATGTCTTAGTGATGATGATTTGATGGAGAAGACAGAAGCTGTGCCTCCTGTCTGTCTTTTGACAGTCAGAAAGTGTGATTCAGCTCCAAAGTCACTCATTGTTTTGCTCATTCCTGTTTGCTTGTTAGTCACACTTATTTTTGTTGCTTTCAGCATCAACAATGCCTTCAAGACACGTTGAGATTGAACAAAAAAACCCTCTTGAGTATACACTACATAGCCAGGACCACTCCTGTAGATAATAAGTCAAAAATGTCTGACATAAATACTAAACTTTCACCTTTATGTATACAACAATATCTATACCTTTTTTTTATGAAATTAATTTGGCAGACAGAGAGCATGTAGTAGGTGGTTGTGAATATTTTCCAACTGAAAGGAATTTCATATTTGAATAGCCAGTTGACACATGAGCTTACCTACTAAAGTTTCCTTCATGACATGAACATGAACATAGGTCTTGTATGGTGCCTCACACACTGAACAAGTGGAACGATGCACTGCTAACATGAGTTTGCAGGCCGTATGGCTAATTAGCTGTTTAGCTGCAGCACATTAAACATTGTGTAAATGGAGCAGCATTTGTCACTTGGATCTGGTTAGATGCTGGTGTGGTCTTTACGCTTTATTAACTCTAACAGCACGGCCAGCACATGTAGGCTGAAGTGCAAGTTTGTTTACTTTGTCTCTTGTTTCCTACGGTAAAACATCTGCACTCTGGCAGCGTTGGAACAGACACTAATTTGTCCCCACCACCACACTTAGCTTTCTTTTTGTGTTTAGTGCTAATGACCAAACATGCTAAATTAAGATGAACATGGTTAAACATTATACCTGCTAAACATTAACATGTTAGCATTGTTATTGGGAGCATGCTAGCATGCTGATGTTGGCATTTAACTCAAAGCACAGCCGTGCCTATAACAACAGCCTCACAAAGCTGCTGAGGCTGTTGACTATTCTTGTCACACAAGTAAGAAATTTCCAATCTCATTTCGATTACTTGAAATCTAAAGTACTTTTTCCCCTTCATTACTGTGTTCCCGCATGCAACTTTAACATTTCCCTCTTCTGAGAATACGAACCTAGGCCGTTTTCTGAGAAGCCTTTATTTGAAGGTCACACTGATGTAAATGGAAAGGGGAGATGGCACTGATCATGCCGCTAACATGCTATTCTGATTTCTTGTCAGGCACCTGTTTGGACATACTGTGCAGAATTGATGAAACCTGGGAAAATTTAACATGTGACCTTCAGTCTCTCTTTCCACCATCAACCATGGTGGATGCTGGTCCTATGGCAGTTAGTCTACAGCGGCTGTTGTGAGTATTAAACGTCACCCTTTTATTATTTTGTGTGTGTATGTGCTTTAGTCTAATCTGAACCTTTCCCAACAGCTCAGTGGGGGGTTACGTACTATATATACGTATGTGTTAACTCTGATTGAATCGTGTCACACAATCTCCATCAGTAGATGAAGTTGCCCAGTTGTCATGGAATTATAGTGTATAGTATGTTCAAAGACTTCTCGTCCAAGCTAATGAAGATAATGTCATATCATTTTGGACATGTATTGATATTTAGTTCCGATCACATATTTTAAATTCAGATATACTTTGCACTGAGATAACAGAGGGACTTAAGTATGTTTCCTATCTGTTGCTTAGTTCACAGAAAGACGACACAGAGGTGAAGGATGGGAATACTGCACCTGATAATCCCGTTGTCTGTGAAGCGAAGGATTCCTTCATGTGTTCACTCGCTCTTGGCGCTGCGACAAACTTTGTCACTGTGGTAACCATCAGCATCTCCTACGCCATCGCTCCGCCTGTTCTCCTCAGGATTCCTGACCGGCCTGGTATGAAAAGAATTTCTTTGTCTCATGCTTTGTTTTGTGTCAGTAAAACATCCAGCTTCAAAGCGAAAAGTCATGCTTAATTAGCTATTAACAGTTCTTGTTTGCTCTGTAGCCAAAGAAACAATCACTGAACACTGTGTATTCAGATTAGGGTATGACTGTAAAAAATGTCACCTATACGATGAACCAACATTGAGAACCTTTCAGTTGAATGGCACCTGATAACGTAACAAAATTAATTTTTTAAAGAAAGTATGTTGCTTCTCATCAGGTTACATGTTGAAATTAGCCCTTCAGAAGAAAAAGAAAGCCAGTCTGTGTGGGAGCAGTCCGTAAAATATCGTGTTGAGCTATTACTCATAAAGTAATCACTTCTCTCCCTGTAGACATCTTTGTGGTTTTATTAGATTCAATTATCTCTTTCTGTATGTGTTGTAATTGAGATGATATGACTTTAGTGAAGTGAAGTAAATATAAGGCACTCCTCTGAAATCCACCTGAAATCGTAATTCAGTCTGAATATTAAACTCAATATACAGCACAGATGAATCATGGGATAATCAAAATTCCCAGCTACATCCTTTTATTAAAAATCCACTCACTGCCATTTAAGTGTGTAAGCTTTATCGTTAAGACCGAAAATCATATTTTGTCAATATTTTTTATGAACTCAAGATGTCATTTATTCATTAATTTAATTTTGATAATCCTGACATGAGGATTACATGATTATTGATCTTTGTTGCATTAAGGTAAGAGCAATTACAGCAAACTGCATCTTTACATACATACGGTGCTGTTATGTCATATTTCAGTTAATAACCACTGCAATAACAAGTGACCTTACGGCTACACAGTGGAGCTTTAAATCTCTTCCAGATGCAAACTCAGATATTGTACTTTTATACGCCACATGGCAATAATGATCCTTTAATTTCATGCAGTTATTGTAACGATCCATTGGATTTAGCAACCGTTGATAAAATGTGAATTGATATTAAACTAGGATCAAAGTGGCAATATGATTAACGGTATATTCTGCTGTGACTGTAAACACGTGCTTCTGTTTTAGAGACGATCTCTTCTTTTTCCACAGTGAAACCGAGTCCTCCAGTCAACCTGTCACATATTCAGACCATTGAAGCTGAACTGATTTTACAATGGGACGACCTTCCAGACTCTGATATCGGTCCGCTGAGATACGAAGTCCGACACTCTCCCAACACCGCTCATCCAGCATGGCAGGTAACACGAAGCATTGATATAATAATACATACGATGTGATACCTTGTAAGAGTTTGCCACTGCACCCACTGGGAGTCATGTGATCTGAAAACATTGACCATTTCATGATAAGGAACCTTTTATATAGGATTTGTAAACTGTAATTAATGACTTTATTGGTTGTTATAGATTAGTTATAAGCTATTAATAAGAACATTTGGGTTCACAGGATGTAAAAAGACCTTAGGCTAGTGTTTATCCTTTTCCATTTTGTAAATATGCTGTTATACTGTACAGGTTAATAATCCATTAATAAATGCTCTTGGCTGTCTAGTCTGCAGCTATAAATGTTAAGTAATTAATAATGGTTTATAGTTAATCTATAAAAGCATCTATAGCCATGAGTAACAATTTATTAACCCTTGACACTTGAAAAAAGCTGATGAGCTTCATGCTTTCATTTGGTTTCAAACAGGAAATATTATGTGCAGATTGCAAAAAAAAGTCTCGACAACCGGTGCAAAATGTTTCAAACAGAGAAGTGATGCTTCCAGGTGTTAAAGAACTTAAAGTACATTGGTAGTGATGATGTAATATAGAAACCTACACAAGTTAGTCTGAAGCTGGAGTGAGTCACACATTTTTGCAGCGCAAATTTCCACTGACAAGACACTGTGTTGACTCAGTGCGACTTGCTCACAGTCAGTTGCCGTTTATATAGCCTCATACAGCGTACTTAGCATTCAACAGTGCACTCAGTGTTCAGCAGTGGATCACAAACTCCATGAGTCATCCAGGAGTGGGATTTTATACCTTCTGTTTATGACTCCTATAGGTGGATAAAAGAAATATGGCAACTCTTAATCATGGTTCTCACATGTTAACACGCCCAACTATCCTTGAGTCAGTTTAGTGTGTGTGTGTATGTGCTTCTGTGTTTGTTGATCCCCTCTCTGCTGTGTCCAGGTGGTGTCTGCACCTGCAGAGCCCAGGTTGTCTCTGGAGCTGAAGCCCAAACTGAACCACACCATCCAGGTTCGCTGCTCCGGCCTGGACCAGCCTCCAGTGTGGAGCGACTGGAGTGAACCTCACCACATCTACCTGGACAGTAAGAACCGTTCCCTTCCGAATGTTTGCATAGAGACAGAAAATCACTGAGCAATGCAAAAGAAATACAAGATGATGTTCTTTTTACTCACACTGGAATGCTTTTGCAGCTGTTTTCCCTTCTAATATAAATGTGTCACTGGAGTTCAATGACTCCCTGGGGATTCTTGGAAGAACAGCATAGCCTTCATTGAAATGAGCAGGAACTAACTGACATAGCAGTTATGTTTTTCACCCGCGCTAGTGGCTCAATAGATGGCGACATCAGTCACTCGACTGTGTTCATTTCCTGGCGGGTGACGGTATCGCTGTATCAAAATCTGTCCACAGACACCTGGCAAAGAACTCCAAGCTGTTCTTTGGTAGTTCCTGCCATGATGAAAAACACAAAGACAATACCAGCCATACAGTGTCACAGCTGATAGAAACTAACTGCTGATGTTATGAAACTTGATAATGTAACAGTGTTGTTTCAGACCCACAACAGCTGAACTGAATTTAAAGGTAATTTGTGTATTTAATGGCTTGAGTGAGATTACATTCATTTCACCCTTTTGCAACAAACCTGGCTAGCTAACATTTTAAACCTGTGAGGATGGCTGCAATTCAACACTCATCAGTGACTGTGGTAGATTGACCTCAATTATTTCTCAGGTAGATTTATGTCGATGCTGAACTATTAAAATGAGTCCAGCTCATTAGCTATGAAGAAGTCATTCCCAGTGGGGTCAACGTCAATAGACTCAGAGCCGTTCTCAATGCTAGTGACCAACTACAAATAACATAACGTAAAGTATAACTTAAAAACAGGAAAATGTCACAAGCAGCAAATCCGCACAAAGTGCTGAACATGAGGCTGAAACTGAGAGTTGAGAAATGAGACAGAGAATTGTTTGCAAATATAAATGATCCTTTTAATCAGAGACTATGAAAAGCTCTTGTTTGCTGGTTGTTAGTGTGTGTTCTGCAACACAAGACTGCTAATTAAAATGTGAACATTAGCCTGAGGGCTGTAAACAACACAAGTCCGATATCTGGCAGTGCTTAGTTTTGTCATTAGGCGTCTCTGTGCATGCCTGCTTCTATTTCGTGTACACATGCGTGTGTATGTGTTGCTCTTCTACTTAATATTGCACAAGTAAACTGTCTGTGTGTCATGGTGTTAAACCTTTGTGAGATGACTCAGCAGCTCTGAGTCATCTCACCAAAACAGAAAACTTCACTTTGTTACAAATGAAATGAGTATCTGCAGTAAAATACATTTGAACAATGATGAAACATGTGACATGAGTTTTTTTTTTTAATTGATTTGAAAGTTTTCTTTTGTTGAGCTCTTCACCTATTTTGCTGATGAGTCACTTTTCTTTTGACTCCACGCAGATGTTTTGGTTGGCTGCAACTGAGGGATTTCAAAATCCCTGAAAAAGTTTTTGTTCTTTTGTAAAAACGTCTACACAGAAACTGTGGGTGAATGGGATTGAGTTAGACGTTTGTTCACCTGAGGGTCTTTGTTCTATTCTCCTTTGTTACTTTTGACATTTTCGTTTTATATCTAAAAATAAAAGACGTATTGAGATATATACAAGTTATAAAAATTATATATTTTATGTTTGTTTGTGTGTGTGTGTGTGTGTGTGTGTGTGTGTGCGCAGCGGTGAGCTACATCCCTGAGAAAGTGGTGGCGCGACCAGGGGAGAACGTAACAGTGTATTGTGTGTTCAACGACCACAGCATCAACGCCAGCACGGCTATGTGGATGCTCAACTTTCAGCAGCCGCTTCATCGCAGTCAGTACCACCCAGTCAACCAGTGGGTAAGAAAAAAGGAAAAAAACTGTCCCTGCTGGGAACATTTCCACCAAGTTTTAATGACTTACTTTTTTAGGAAAGTACAATCCATGTAATTAATCTTTACCAAAACAGGTCAGCCAGATCACAGTACGTCCTTCGGAGACTCGGATGTATGACCTGCTGCGGTGCACTCAGGAGTGGACCATCCCATACAGCCAGATCTTTGCAGAAGGTGAGCTTTGTTGCACCAGCAAAGTTAAATATTACAGACTGAAATACGACATTCATTAAGACACGGATGAGCTTTTTCTGCTGTGAAAGTTAAACTTCAACATTTCACCTCTGATGTTTTAAAGTCCCTTTTTTGCACAGTGGACAAGACAGAAAAGAGAGTGGGGACATGTGACAGCACAATAATGTGAACCAAAATCATCCCAGAGCACAGAGGCTAGTTCTGGTGAAGTTTGTCTTTGGCCTAAACATGAGTGATTCTCTGTGCGTGTTTCAGGAGTCTCCATCAATATAAACTGTGTAACCAACGGTGATATCGATGCTATGGACTGCAGCTGGAAGAACACACAGTGGACTAAACCCGAATTCAGATCCAGGTAAAGCAGCAATTTGACATCAGTCGTCTTATTTTAGTGTCGTCTATTTGGATGTTTGTGCAATCTGTGGCATTGTTCATGAAACCTTATGAGTTCTGTGCTGAAAACCTGGAAGTTACAGAACACAGTGTACCAGACAGCACATTGAGGGACCACACCCTGGAAATAGTTGTGTGAAGATGACACTAGGAAGTGTATTTCATCATGAGCTACAAATCAATGTCAGCAGGACATCTGACCTCACAGCAATAGAAAGTCACCACACTTTAAAAACACTAGAACAATGAGGACTGACAGAATGATGACGTTTGTTTCTTACCTCTCTCTCTCGAGCAACAATACTATGTACTTCCTACTTTCCTTAGCTCTAATTCGCTGTCTTTGAAATAGAAATAAACAAAATACACCACTGTGTATTTAGATGTGTGAGATTCTTTTGCAATTTAGAGGTGACAGGTGATTTTAAGTATAATTCCATTTTATTACAATTTAGATATTATTTTCATAGTTTTAGAAGACCGGGCAAGACACACGAGCAGTCAGACGATCGTACAGCTTTTACACAAATCCCCAAACTCATTTTGCAGAGAAAGGTTATTCCCAAAACTGTTGTCATCACACATTACAGATCGACTTACTGGTATAACTTTGACCACACTGACTGTAGTTGTGCCAGACAATGACCCGGGAGTCATGTGAACCACAGATTAATTGCATAGTTTAACCTTCATAGTGTGAAAAAAGTTAAACTCTGTGTCGTTATCGGTCTAGATTCAGTAAAGATATGCGATCTGGAGATCTGCATCAATGCTCTCTATAGATATACTGTATAAGAAGCGGACATAGTCATCGTGACGTCACCCGTTGGTTTTTGGACTGCCGTTTTGAAGCCTCGAGTTCGGCGATTATGCCGTCGCCATCTTGGATTACGGCCGTCGTCATGTTGTTTTTTTTGCAACCAATGAACAGTGAACTGTGGTCAAGTCAGACAGTTTTCAGCAGCCTTCAAAGAATAAACAGGAAGTCACAGAAAAAGTTGCATCCTGTTAGACCTTTGTTCTTTTCATTGCTGCCTCTGAAATACTTTGCTGCACGTTTTGATGTGTGTTGTATAAATAAGCTTTATTATCAGTAATCACACAAGGTATGTTTTTAGAGTAAACCTTCATTGCACAACATGAGACTTATCGCCAACAATGTAGCGTTACATTTTACAATTACACAAAAAAAATAAGATTTTCTGCAAAACGTGGCGTTTGTTTTCAAATATAAGAGCCAATCAGCTCTTTGATCAGGCGACAGCCAGCCGTTTCCCATCATGCCCTGTGTCATGCAGTCGGTGGAGAGCAACTGCCACGCCTGGCTCTAAAAACTGCGGCCACCTCGATATTGTGAGTTTATCATTGACCATGTGTGCATGACGTCAGAGCAAGTCGTGATCAAGTCGGACACAAATCTAAACGACATGCATTGTGCGGCGATCGCCGGTGATCGATACTGCGCAGGACTGGCTCATCTCGAACGAGCCTATTGCTGTGGGCCCCCAGATGCCTCGTCTTACTTCATTACAGCAAAAGTTGCCTTATTTTGGTTTCTACAGTGTTATCACAACCAACGGAAATAATGTTAAGAATTTATAAAATGTGACCCAAGTTGTCAGGAACTAGACTTATCCTATTTTTTACAACTTCAGCATCTGACATTGTATTATTGGCATTCCAACTGTATTGATCAGATTGTATAGAAGGGAAACAAAAAGAAAAGATGTAAGGTCTTCATTTATTGCTCATGCCAGGTGGGCCGACCTGCCATGCGATGTGATGGAGGAGAGGGAAAGAGCGGGGGAGAAAGTGGGGGAGATGGGGCCCGCTTGCATGCAGGTTCGACCCAGGCTGGAAACCTGCACCATCCAGCCTCTGAGGATGAACTGCTACAAGCTGTGGCTGGAGATGCCGTCCCGGCTGGGCCCCATCAGGTCTAAACCCAGCTACCTGTCACCCATAGATCATGGTGAGCTAGATGGATTAATGTGTGGAGCGTAACACAACTAAACAGAACAGAAATATCACTGTAGGTATCATTATTTTGCTTGTGTTTTCAAAATGAAAGAGCATATATAAATCTATAAAGAATATGAATTTCCTCCCGTTCAATTGAGATCTAGAATATCTGGAATATCTAAATGGCAAACTTTGAAAGTTTTATTTATCAAACTGCAGTTTTTAAGGCAATATGATTGGTATAGTATCAAACTGTAAAGGAAACCATTGCTATAATAAACGCTCATACAGGAAAGAGTTGTAATGCTTGAAGTGAACCTTTAAATATAAAGGTTAAAGTGGTGATTGCTGTTGATCACAGAAAAACTAAACGGTGTAAACGTCATGACACATGATTCTTGTTGAGCAATATTTGTCCGTCTTTTTTCATTACTGGATCTATGATCATGTTGCATGAGACAATCTCACACTTTTCCTCCTTGCTATTTCCCCTGCAGTAAAACCCCACACGCCCACTAATGTGAGGGCAGTGAGCCAAAGCAGTGGGGTCCTGATGGTCACGTGGGACCCTCCGTCTCTGCCTGTCGAGGGGCTCCAGTGTCAGATTCGGTACCACTCGCCCTCCGCTGTAAGAGCCCAGCCGGAGTGGAAGGTGAGCTGGTGTGTTGGATTGTTTACCAACCACAGGCTTTTATTAAAAGTTTGGCTAAGTGGCACTATGAAGGACATTTTACCCATCTTTCTGGAATAACAATTATTGTGGGAGGTAAATAGAAGATGCCTTCCAGTACATTGGAAACTCGATGATTACCACAGATAACGTCCTGTTCATTCAGTTATTCTATTTTAAAAACAACATGGGTAACATCTAACTATTTTTGCCAAAATGTTATTCTACCTGTAATAAAGATGTTTATCTATCAAGAACAAACATATTAGAACTCATATTAGTTACTGAGGTACAGCACTCGGCTAGTAAATGGTCTAATATCTCCTTAAATCACAGGATGCTTTGACATGGACTCAACTGGTCAGTTTGACATGATCTGGTACGAGCTAGTATGAGACTATATCTTCTGATTGAAAAATGATTTTGGAAAGTGCACACATGCTAATATTAATATGAAGAGAAAGATGAGGAAATACATTTTTCACTTTGTTTGGATAAAATGGATAGATGGATGAAACAAATGTGTACTCCACAGGTCAGATAGTTAATTTTCCTTTATCCAAAATGAGCTCTAAATAAGATGTCATGCCTGCAGATCCAGAGTCCAGTGCGGGTTTCGTGGATGCAGGTCGCAGTGTCGGACATGTGCCGGGTGTATATGGTACAAGTACGCTGCATGCACGCCAAGGGCACCGGCTATTGGAGCGAATGGAGCGATTCGTTCTACTCCACACCTCAGAACAGCAGAAGTACAGTACAACACCATTACTTTCACCCAAAAATTCAAATACCATTAACCTTTAAAGACGACAGCTTGCAGCCAGATGCCTGATGTGACCTTCTACATCGCTTCTGACGATCTGATTCTAGCTCTAATGAAAAACGCATCATACCATCTCCTCCACCACTAAAACACAGTGGTGTAAGAGCTAATGTGATGTAATTTGTCGGTCTCCCTCTCAGCTCCTGACCGTGGCCCTGATTTCTGGAGAGTCCTTCAAGATGATCCATACAGAAACCAGACTAATGTCACTCTGCTATTTGAGGTACACAAACTGAAAAACATACACATTGTCAGGCTTGTAATGAAGACATAACTAAAAATAATAGAAATATTTGCTTTCCTGCATTTTGTTTTTGCGCAGCATCTCCAAATATCAGGGCGCTCTTATTGTGTAGATGGATTTATAGTCCAGTACCAGGCGTCGAGTGGCTTTGTGATCAGGGAGCAGATCGACATGGCGTCCTCCTACAGTTTTCAGTGGGACCAAGAGCTCCAAACTGTGACAGTGGAGGCCTACAATAATCTGGGGAGCTCCACTAACAACATCAACATGTCGCTGGAGAGACATCCCAAACGTGAGTGAGCTGGGATTCTCAGCCAGTTGAGGGAAAATAATGAAAACGTGTTTTGTTTTTATCTGTTTGTTCCTGAATGTTCTCACATTCTCAGTATTACATTAGTATTACAGGATCATTCTACACTATTGCTATTGCTAACTATCATAGGGGTTGTTTTGAACCGCTCTTAGTCTGGGCTCTCCCCTGAAACCTGTTTGCCTTGGGAGACCCTACCAGGGGCTAATGCCCCGGACAACATAGCTCCCAGGATCACTGAGCCACTCAAACTCCTCCACCACGATAAGGTGGCGATTCACGGAGGAGCTGGTCGGAATTGATCATGCAAATGATAATGAGCTGAAATCCTAGATTATACCAGTAGCCTTATACAGCAAATATACAATGAGTTACAAACCAAGTGGGCAAAACAATACTGCAGGTTTAAAGGTAGATGTAAACTAAAACATTGTTCAGTTACAGGTGCTCACAGCATACAAACCCTTCAGATAATAATTCAATTGATTGAATAATTGACACATGAATCTAGATATTTCCTTTCAGGTCACAAGGCGTTTGCAGTGCTCTCCAACACGATCATCAAAACAGCAAATAAAGGAATATGTTTTTTTGGCAGAAAGATGTTTCATCCCTCCAGTAGAGTTGCATAGCCATAGAGAGTACATTTTATTTTGAGTTCCCTTTGTTATGCAAGTGTAACAGAATTTAAAGCACAAGAGCAGAAGTCACCCGGAAGAATTGTATTCACTCTTTTTGTTTTCTCCTCTGCAGGCCGCTTTGTGCGTTCATTCAGTGTGTTGGTTATCAACAGCACCTGTGTGTCTCTGTCCTGGAGTCTGTTGGACAACAGCTCTCCCCCTTTGTTCATGGTGGTCCAGTGGTCTCCACGGAGGCAACAGGACTCTGATGATCACAAGGGCCGGAGTGGGGAAACATGGGCCAGACTGCCCTACACAGACTGCCCCATCTATCTGAGAGGTGATGTGATCTCTGCTCTGTCTCTTCTTTTTATTTATTCATTGCTTAATGTATCTGTTAACAGTGCGTTTTACTATAAAAGAGTGAGTAAACTCGGCCAACATGATTTCAATGCATCATTTCAGGTGATTTCTTAGGCTCTGAGCAGTCAGGCTTCTACTTGTACTCAGTGTTTGCTGATGGAGAGGGGGAGCCAATGTACGCTATAGGTATGCACCAGTTTTCTGGCTGTTGTAACAGCGTCATATTCAACATTTAAGTGTTTAAGGATAACACAATGCCAGCACTTTTGTTTTGTTGTTAGTTATAGGTCTGATGTGTATTTTCTCCTTGTGTTTCAGCCACCAGACGAGACCCTGCAGCCTACATGATGCTGATGATCATCTCCTTCCTCTTCATCGTCCTGTTTGTCACCCTGATCGTCTCCCAAAACCAGTAAGAGGCTCCAGTTTTGTGAAAAGACAACTCTCCAAAGACACATTTGCAGCAATTAAAATAAAGATTGATGTTTAGTCACAAATCTTGCTGCACACAAAAATAATCACCATGGAAAAGTTGTGATATTAAATTCGTTTTGGGGTGTTTTAATGTGGCAATGGCAATCAGATCGTACAAAAGGCACTTTACATGCAGAATGTGCATTTGTTTTCCATGTTTATTCTTGTACCTGTTATTAATTATACTGCATCAGTGTATGTCAAATTAGTTTTTTACCCAGGCACCTGTAAGAAGTGATAAGTGATGGAAGTCTCTGGGGTGCAGTCTAATTTAGAGAGCAGAGACACTGATCATGATAGACTTAAGGAGTGTGACATTTAACAGGTCACAAGGGTGTAATTACACTTGATGTTAGCAGAAGGGAGATGTGGGGAGGGAGGGGAAAAAAGTCTTTAGCCAGAGAGATGGAGCCTAAATATCTGCTGCTTTTCTTTCCAGGATGAAAAAGTTTGTGTGGAAGGATGTGCCCAACCCAAACAAATGCTCCTGGGCCAAAGGACTAGACCTCGAAAAGGTAAAAAATAATATCAAACTGTCATGAACATGTTTACATGCATTTTTTTAAAACACTGCCGCTCTTGAATGTGATTCATCTAAGTGAACAACATGTCAACCTTCATTTTAGACCTGGAGTCCGTTTGGGAAATCCGGTTATTCGCTTTCTTGTAAGAGTAAGAGGAGAACATAGACATGATACACATGATGCTGCAGCCAGCAGCAGGTTAGCTTAGCTTTACATAACGACTGGAAACAGTGAGCTTGGCTCCCTCACTGTGGCAGTAAGACTCAAGGAAGTTGCCTTTCATGACCAAGAAATAGTCCGGCACACAACACCCCGTAGAACAAGAACTGGTTTTTACACTTTAATAACACAAAAAAACATGTTAGTTTTAGCTTTAGTTTAGTTTAGACTTTGTTACCTTTTAGTTAGAGCCAGACTTGCTGTTCCTCTGTTTTCAGTCTTTATGCTAAGCTAAGCTACCAGTCGCCTGGCTGTAGCTTCCTATTTAGCATATATGAGTGGTAACTCTTGGCAAGAAAGCATATAAGTGCATTTCCCAAAATGTTGAACTGATCCTTTAACTCAATACACTTGGTCTTTTGCACAAAGCACTTGTTTTAACCATAGGGCAATGCTGTAGATTGACCAAACATTTTAAACCATGCAAGTTTCAGTTTTTTTATCTATCACTTTAATAATTAAATACATACAAATGTATTCTCATTTATGCGTGCACATTTACTTATTATTGCTGGAGTCAAATAAATTTATGATCTATGATTCTCTACATCTGTGTGTTACTGTGTGAGTAGTTTGCTATGCTACCCCAACAGAAAATATGCAATTCATCCCCCGTCTTAGCTATTTTGAAAACTAAACGTTTTTTTTTGTACATCTTTCCAGACTGACACCTTTGACCACTTGTTCCGACCTCCAGAAGGCCTTTCAGCCTGGCAGCTGCTCCTGCCGTCTGACAATATTTCCCAAGTTGCCATAGTTGACAAGATCGATCTCTCAGCTCTGACTACAGCTTTAGTCCAAGTTCCACTTGTGTCTCTAACACCCGACCCAGCCACTGTGTTATCTCTCTCCCTTCCTCCAGAGTCTGATTCTGAGGTCAACCAAGCCCAGGCCATGGATAGTGAGGGGCTCCTAGGTGGAGCTCCTTCTGTAGCTCTTAGTCTTAGTCTAAGTGCTTTAGTCAGTTCAAGCCCAAGAGTAGATCAGTTACAGCTAGACGATCCAGGCCTCAATGACAGCTCTGCTCAGTCTTCAGTTATATATGCCACTGTGCTGCTCCCTGATCTGAAGCAGGAGGATGGTAGCGGCAGCAGCTCCAGCGATGAGGGCAATTTCTCTGCCAACAACTCAGACATTTCTGGATCTTTCCCCGGCGGCCTGTGGGAGCTTGACAGCTGCCGAGCTGGAGAGATGGACGACCCGCGGCGCTCCTGCTCCTACAACTCTGTGGAGGAGCTTTCTGAAACATCAGAGCATGAAGATGAAGACGAGGAGGTGAGAGAAGAGAAAGACTTGTGCTATCTAGGAATGGACTATCCAGCAGAGGATGAGGAAAGCGAGGAAGATGAGGGGCAGAGAGAAGAAGAGCCTAATATCAAGCTGCTCAAAAATGTAGTTTTGAACAGAGAGGACTGTTCTGTGGAGTTGCACCCTTTGCTCGGCCCTGAGGACTCGATCGAGCTGCTGTCAGCGTCAATGCAAGACTGTCCTCCGCTTTACCTGCCTCAGTTCAGAACTGCTTCGTGTACGAGGCAACTCAAAGCTCAACCAGAAAAAGGCAAACCCCAGCTGTGACTCTCACACCGACTGCATTTAAATGAAACTGTGCGTCTTTAAATCAGTCATGATTTGGCATTTACCAAAGCGGGTTTGCACATGTTCCTTCAGAGGTGTGTAGCTGAAAAATGTAAAAAATACCACAACCGATGTGTGATTGCAAATTGATATTCATCAATGCTGCTATTATGTTTTGTGGGAGAAATCGTCACAATCTTCATTTACATACATTTCTTTCTTTGAAAGACAGATTCTACTGTGCCACACTGCTCCTTTGCACTCGGTAAGTGATGCAGGAGCACCTGCTGAGAAATCTGAACCCTTTCAAAGGAGGTTAGGCGAGTGGAGTATTTGACAGTCCTGTACAAGCAGTGCATGTGTGAGGAAGTAAGAGAGGTGGTAGCCATCGTGTGGCTTCAAACATATACATAGAAACAGCATATTGCATAGGTGGTCATACCTTTGATGAATTTAAAAAAAGATGTGGATATGAATGTGTGGCCACATTCACTCCTCTGCTGCTTCATTTCACGTGAAAGATGAAAAAGGTCCAAAGAGAATAAACAGACGCACAGATAAGAGAGAAAAGGCTCATAATCTGCACAGTTTTGGTTCCCTCAAAGCACATTGGACTGTGAAGATAAGGCAAACCTTGAATGTCACATTAAAGCTATCAGTGTGACTAACTATAATGCAGGTTAATGATGAAAACAGGTGCAGTATGTGTGTAATTGCAGGTGGTTTTTGGACACAGAATTTACTGCATTTGTAATCAGCTTGCGCAACAACATCTGCATGCACTAACCACCCACCAACCCAAAGAATGTCTTTTTGTACTTTGTGCAGTAATGTATTTGAAACTTTGTTACAGTTTGTGAGGTATGTGATATACATTTTGTTTGTGTTTAGCCATTAAAATACACACCCGCTGTCTGGTGTTAAAAAAAAAGACAAAAGAATGTATCTTTGAAACAAGAGGAAGACAGGAATTAAAAGTAATGAAAATATTGCTTGACAGAAATTGTTATTGTATATCGAGATATTCAGTCTATTTTTCATGGTTAAAATAAAGTGTTTATTGTGAAGTTTGTCTGGTTTGTGTAACAGGGATTGATACGATCAGTAGCCTGTGTAAACATGAGCAAAAGAGGAAACTTAAGGCACTCCCGCTTAGAGGAGCATGAGTATTCAGAGTTCTGATAACAGCCTTCATTGGCTTACAGACGGTAGAAACGCTGCCAGTTTCAACATTGACAGCTCTTCATCATGGAGACAAACGAAAAGACGACACCTGGTCCGACCCTTTTCGTACTTTCATTCAGGGATGTGTCCTAATTGGGTAATTGGGACCACAGGTGGGAGCTAACAAGCGTCAATCAGGGATTATAACCAAGGGTCTCACAAATCAAACAAGTGACAAGTGAAACTGTAAGAAACAAACACGTTTATCGACTCAAATAAAAGACACAATGAAAAAAAAAATAATTAAATAGATGTGCTATAAATGTAATTTCTTTCATTTAGGCCTGGATACAATTTAGAAAACGGCAACCTTAGGGGTGTCGCGTTATACCAGTATTGATAAATAAATAATATTATGTCAAGAAAAAATACACATAAATTAAATTTATTTTAAATAATATTGTATAAATAATCCAGCATCTCTTAAATCATTTTGTACACGTAGTAGTTAAGGTTACATCTGTCTCCACCTCCCTACAACCATATTTTGAGTGTAATTAATTTCCCAAAAGACGCACAATAAACTAAATTAAAGATGAATTTTCTATATATATATATATATATATATATATATATATATCACCTAATAGATGGTTTGACTAGTTCCAAATTCTCAGTTCTTGTGGATGTGAATGTGTGGCCACATTCACTCCTCTGCTGCTTCATTTCACGTGAAAGATGAAAGAGGTCCAAAGAGCAAATATGCTTTTCTTCAGCATATTTGCCTTTCTGAATTCTTTTCCTCTTATATGTGAAAACAATTGCACAAAAAAATAGTATATCTTTTATTCTATTTTAAATTGAATTTGTTTCTTAGAGTTTTCACTGGTTTGGCTAATGAGATCTCGGGTAAGTAATCCCTGAATGACATCCTCACCTGTTTTCCCAATTACCCAATTAGGACAGACCCCTGAATGAAAGTACAAAAAGGATCAGACAGAAGCACTGTCTCTTTTCTCTGATAAAGACCTGTCGAGGTTGAAAGCAGTCTTTCATATTGTGTGCCTGAAGTTTCCTCCTTTGCATGGTTGAAGAGTTTTACCTTTTTTCTTCACCATACAAAGCACATGTTTGTTGGGTGCATTTTGAGATTTTCCCACTGAACACATCAGTATCTTTTTAGATCAGCGAACTGGCTCCGTTTAGTTGTGACACTGCTCCGTAAACTGGCAAGAGCTGCTGAACCATAGCATGAAGCCGTAAAGAGCTAAAGAACCACAACACCTTGGATTCAGTTCACTTAAATGTGACCATACTGAAATAGCACCATTACTAATTATTTCTATGTTTTGTATTATATAGTGGATGAATGGCCTTCATCACAAAACATTACAAAAAAATAAATTAAACATAGAATTAGAAGATACTCACACAAACGCATATCACTCCTAAACTACAGTGATATTCTGTCACCTTGTGGTTGCAAGAAGTAAATACATCAAATACAAAGATGGGAAATCCTCTATTTGTTGGTTCTTAGTCCTTACTTTAAAAAAATGGATTTTAATTCTATTCTTTTTATCAAGCTGTTTAGGAAGACCATGTTTTGTTTTGAACAAGTCACAGTCTCTTCAACATGATGGCTGTGTCCTTGTAAGTTGCAGGTCAAACTGATGCTTATCATTTTAGACTGTAGACATCACTTCAATGTCACTAGAGTTCACTATAACTGACGTTTAAACTAAGCCATATACACAGTCCCAAAGTAGTTAAACCATGTGAAGTGTTGTAAAAAGGCAACTGGTATGTTGTATAACTGCACATCAAGTATCACGTCTGCCTCAGTTTATTTATAAAGTCACAGAGGTTTGATTATCTGACTTACTGAAGACGTCACTAGACAGTAACACTTATGCAAACATAAGGAGTTATGAATAACAATCACAGTAAAAACAAAACGAACAAAGATGTTCCTACTTTGTGTACACTGATTCCCACTGCAGTTGTATGTGGGCTTGATATTCAATTGACTGTGTTATACATGGTTTTCATTTCTACTTTACTTTTATTGCAGTGGCAATTACTGTAAATGAGAAAATATGTCTACATGTGGCGGCCATTCTCATTTTCCTTTATAGCGATTAGTGAAACTTGATTTTAAAAGAGATTTCCTTCAGTTGTTGAATCAACTTTGTTGAGTAGATCGTAATGCTGTTTTGCAGCAGTTCAAACCAACATGTGCTTGCTTTGAATAAACAATTACAACAAACAGAACCGTTGCTAATAATACAGATGCCAGTGACAGAGCAACATGCCCATGTGCTTCAGATGACATCATATAAGGACTATAAGAAAGTGTGGAATGATGTATATCTGTGATCATTCAATATATTCTTCGGATGTATTGCCATTTTGCAGCCACAAGGAGACAGAAAAGCACCACTTATGGAGCTCAGTAACTTTTTCAAAAAGCCTCTGTCCTGGGTCTCTTGTATTTGCCATCGAAGGACATGATAGTGCAGAGAGCTGCTGGCTTTAGTAAAGAGAGGAATGAAATCACAGAGGTGTGATACCGTGCTAGGGTTAAATATGGTAATAGAGAGATGGGAACACCACAGGGAGGGGGGAGTTGTGTTTATGGTTATGATAGTTTACGGCCTGTAGATTAAATAATCTGTGCTGAGAGGTCTTCTGTAAGGTGAAAATGACTTCAAGGACCCCAACCTGAAAGCCATCAGGTTTTTTTTAAATGAAGATGCAGATAAAATGACATCCCACTCTTTATCACAAAGATCCCAAAAAAAAACAAGCGTCCGGAGTGATGCTATGTCTGGTCAAGTGACCCAGATTCCCCCAGAAGCCCCGCAGCAACAGACCTCAGTACCTGCTTCCTGGTCTGCAGCTTAACACGGGGTCGTGAGATAAGACGGGCTGCCGGAGAAATGCTGCACATGTGAAAGTTCTTTGCTGCTCTACTGATCTCTCAGCTGTGGCAAATTAGCATCACCAAGGAAAGATTGCGCTTCAACCAAACACTTTGCCAGTGAGGTGGCGTAAATAGATTAAGTATTTGTGAAATGCAGTAATCTTTTGTTCATTAGTGGGGAATGACTGACTCTGATGAAAGATTACACATATTAACTTTGTTCCCTTTGAAAACTGTGTAAGCTGTTGAATATTCCTGGTGAAAATGAGATTTATACTGTAGAAGATTCAAATGCCAATATGTGAAGAGCATAACGTGTGAAATCTTCACAAAAAAACTCGAACAAAACTATTTTTCATCAAATAATATTTCCAAGTGGTCAATTGTGATTCTATCTTTCATTTAAAACTGGTTTTGTAATCTTAAATAATCTATAGTAGGCTGTGAAACAGCTCAAACATGCTCTGTTTGCGTGACACAATATATGTCGACTTTTTTAACCTCTTGAACCCTAACCCTATTTGACAATTAAAACAAATGCTGATAAACAAAAACATGTATAATGGCTTCATACATAAATGTATGCATGGCCATATACATAACTTAATTACATTGATTAGATATGTTTTCCATCTTTCTCGTGCCTATCCCTCCCTGGATCCATTCATCTGGAAATGGCAGCACAAACACTTCCACAGAAAGGTTCCTTACCTCCCAGGAAATATCTGTCTGGTGTTGCAACCTTCAACAAAAACAAACCTACATGTCCTGACTGATTTCTCTTTGAGCTGGATGCTGTTGTCATCTGGAAGTGATTGAATCACATCTGGGTTGTGGAAAAAGGAGGAGAAAACAACCGAGGAGGCAAAGAGGACAGTCTGGAAGAGGAGTCGAAAGTAGATGCTGATCCACAGCTCTGCTTTGGTGACTTAGAGTTGACAGGTAACACTTCTAACTCTTCACCATAGGTTTTGCATGGTTTAGCATATATACAACACATTACATCACAAATTAGTCGTTTTATTGTGTTTTACATGTAGGTATTTTGACGTGTTTTTTGAGATTAAAGGTATCAATTAGTTTCCATTTATTTAACTATCAAATGGTATGAAAGTTTTTGTTTCTCTCTACCTTATGAATGAAATTCAGCATTCCTGTGGTGAAGATCTAGCCAGAAACCAACTAATTGTTCTGCTACTGTATGTTCCCCAATGTTCCCCAAGGAGGACCCACTCCCTATGTAGATATAAAAGGCTACTTCTTAGGACAACACATCAATTCTTTGTTTTAGGTGATTATACACTAAAGAAAACATTATGAATATTATATTCCATATCGCCAAATACATCCCCCTAAATTCTACACACTGGTCCTCTAAGGGCTACATCTCTCAAACAAGCTGGTGTGGTCCTTTGACAAAGATCAAGGTGGGATCAGCAACCCAGGCGGGGTTTTCACTGGTTAGCTGTGGTTATCCGCCACGGTAAGAACACATCCATCAGTGCTGGATAAAATTAAAAAAAAATTAGAGTATAATTTACCTAAATCCTCTCCTCTTTTCTAAAACACAATGGTAAGAATAAGTGAATTTGTGGTTTGTGACCAAACCACAAGTTCTGAAATCCCTTAGTGGGATGAAAATAAATAAAAGTCAACATGTTTCTCATCCACTAGCGCTCTATAAAAACGTTAGCCTGTTCATGACACACTACTGTTATTATGCTACATCGTGTCATTCTTGCAATCTATAGTGCTTAAACAAACTGACAAGTGTCTCTGTGTACCGACGTCACTGTTCATGCTCCGGCTCTTGCCATCAACCCTGTTAATGTGAATCAGGAGAAAGATTTACCAGCTTGACATTGTAAATCCTTCATTGATCGCCTGGCATTAATTTGTGCAGCAATCGCGATGGGCTTTAGCTACTGATGTTTATCCACGATGGCTTTGAAGGCCATAACATCTGGGGTAAAGGTCAGATTGTGGCAAGTTTACTGCAA